TATTGCGTGTCTGTGTCTGGATCCTTACATATTTCAGTAGTAACAGAACTGTTATGGTTTTTGGATGTCTGGGGTTCAGATGCAGGACAGAAGACAAATATAAACAACTGCAACATTGATATAATAAAACATTCTTCTGAATAAATAAAATATATATTATCAGCAAAAGCACATGTTATTTTAACATAAAATAAGTAACATTTTGTAGTTGATTTTACAGCAGTCTTTATGTCACATAATTTAGAATGAAGGTGTATACCTGAACAGTCTAATGCTAAGCTAACACATCTAAGCAGGTACAAGAAAGGTGTGATTTTCAGATATATTGCAACTAACACTGCAAAAAGCACATCATGTAGGTTTGCAGTGGAATATTTTATTAATATATATAATCTGTTTATATTGTATTTGAGTATGTTATATTTATGGATGCATATATATGAAAAAGAAGTTGTCAGACATGTATTTGATACATGGTCCATGTACAGGATTTAATGGGCGCATGTCTCTGGGCTAAGGGTCGTTGTCTAGAAATGGATCACACTTCTTTATTCAGTTACAAAATTGATTTATGAAGAAATGTTTATCTTTTATATTGTGACATCATTTCAAAAAATTTCCCTTATTGCCCCATGAAAGATATGTACGCTATACGTATTTTAGGCACTTTTGCAACCCTGAAGCATACCCATTAAAATCGCTTCACCTGTCTGTCTTTGTATCTGTCCATACTCGTGAAAGAACTTGAGAACGAACAAACAAACCAGTTTTGTTTAAATTATATATTGGAGAATCTTGTGAAAAATTGTTGAGTCATTCTAATTATAATTTAGATCAGACAGTTTTAATTAACAATTTGAACAGTAGCATCAGTTTTTTTTTTGATGTATTAGGTACGTGGACATGAATCCTATAGTTGTTTCAGCAGAAGATAACGAGAATTAAGAAAACTAAATGCTGATTTTAGTCTGCATTGAAATAATTTATTTTATTTTGTTCATTTAGTGTGATAATACAGTATTACTTTGAAGCTTCAGTGAACAGTTATCGTGTGGATGGGAAAAATTATGTTGTTATTCTAGAAATATTAATTTAATTTAATGAGAAACATGTCAAGACTGTCGTCACTTCTGTGTGAGCGATTATTAAAACAATTTGTGTTCCATCTTAAGTTTATTTTGTGTTCTTTTAAATCACCATTTTTGCCAATCATTAGTTGCAGCATCATTCATCTCTATGTTTAGTATTTGTATGCTCTGAGTTGAGCTTAAAATAAATAATCTCATAGTTTCATCATGTATACAGTGAAACAAGAATAATTTATTGAGATTTATGACTGAAATTTACGTATCTTTTCAATGATTGACCTGTTCCAAAAAAAATAATACTGATGTTCTAATAGTTTGATCGGTATGTTAGACGACACCGTATTTATGTTGCAGATACCTCTGTATTTCATATACATGCATCCATATATATTATCTTTTATCAGAAGTTATGTTACTTCACTGAGATGTATGTGATTAAATTTTAAAAACTA